CCTTTGCAACCTTTTCATACACGTTTTGGGGCCTTTTCATCAGGGGCGGCGGAGTTGGCGCTGTTCCATTGTGTGGACTCTGCCATTGATGGTGGATCAATGGACGGACCACTGTGGGATCTAAAAGTGCCCAATTGTGAGCTCCAGAGCGTTTCTTTGATGCTGGAGCGTCGAAGCATGGAGCAACAATTGGCGAATCACAATAGGAAACGCCCATGGCACCGTGGGCCCTCGGAAGTTGCGTTCAATGGAAACAAGGTTGAGCTTTGGCTGCTTTGCAGAGGTTTTAGGGGATGAAATGGGTGGCATTTGGGGAAAAGTTGCCAAAAATCGATCGGCATTGTCGTGAAACACTGGCGACTGGATTCGGAGTAAACTACGAGCTGCTATTGTGATAGCTCGGGGTGTATTCTCAGAAACACTTTGTGATTGGGTTTACTTTGTGATTGGGTTTTGCCTCGAGGGATTAGCCTGGGGGTTCATTGTGATTGGATTTGGGGGGAGGAGGTGGTTGGTTTGATTTTTGGATTCACGAAATAGTGGGTCAATTCCGTGGGTTTGATTTGGAGCTTGGTTTTTGGGATTTTCAGGAAGGGGAGGTCCATGTTGACCTATGGAATTATGGATTCTATGATATTATAGACTCTGAATTGAATTATATTACAATTGCATTTAAGTTCCTCGAATTGATCCCAGGCCGAATATCCATAATCAGTATAGATCAACTCCCCACATCAACAGTAGACCATTGCTTCTCCCCAATTATAGAACATCTCTCCAATAGAAAATCTCTCCAATTAAAGAAAATCTCCAATTTCCAATTCCTAATCAAGCCCTTATTCTCGGGAAGTCCCGTTATCTTTTCTCTCCAAATCCCTACGGTGATTGCTACTCTACACATATCAACACCTCCAACTCCCCCCAAACCTCCATAACCACGGAATTCCGCCTCTTCTATTCCCCAATCCATACCTCCCGACTCTTCTCCCCATCACGTAATCACGAAAATCCCAAAAATCCACAATCCCACCACTGCCTCCAAAACAGACTTCACTTTTCAAACAGACTTCCATTGTGATTGGGTACCACGTCGCCGCTAACTCCGAATCGGCACATCCGACTAAATACACTGCCTCGTCTTCCTCCAGAACCCTGAATCCGAAACCGCCTTTAAGCTTTCTCGATCGACTGAGCCTCTAGTAAAGGAGCCCACAAAGCCAACTACCCGGTCATCGTTTAGTCAATTGACCAAGCCCCAGGTCGGCCTGATCCGGCACTATAATTAGTATCACCATTGAAATCCACAATCCATTGATGTAAGGTTAAAGACGGTTCATCTAGGTTAGACTCTGACGTTGAATCTTAAACCTACAATTCCCAGCGTAACCGCTTGCTGCAAAATCCTTACCCTCTACCGTAAACCTACTTCTGACTCCAGGACCAAAAATAACCTACACTGGACCTGGACCCTCTGGAACCAATTGACCAATCAGAATCCGCCGTTTTGGCGACACAACCCCTTCAATTGACCCTGCCCACTCCCACCACCAGAGCCTCGCGACTTTAAGCCCTAGCAAACGCCCCAAACGCCTAGCAACCTTGTCTATTAGCCCTAAACCGCACTGTAACGTTCAAGGCATCGCTCGCCTCACAGCCCCACGTAAACCGGCATGACGCCTACAGGCGCAAGCCTAAAAGTTTAAAATCGGGCGTTACTGTACTTGATTGCTGGTATTTTTGAAATGTCTGGTTTTTTTTTTTATTGCAGGCAGTCTCTAGCTTTTCACTTTGAACAATGTCTATCGAAGAGGCGTGGAAGCCTGGTAGGCAGAAATGTCGCGGAGCCGCTCGCTGGGCTCAATTTCCTCACACCACTTGTGGGGCGATGCGTGTGTCGTTGAGAAAAATAACTGTGTCGGTGGAATAACCTGATTGAGTTAGAGTATGTAAACTTTACCCGGGTTAAGCCCCAGGGTGTAATTCTTTTCGTCAGCCGGCCACCGACCGGGTCTCTTACTACAGCCACCGACAATACGGGTCACCGGGGGCTTTTTCGTGATAACGACCGGCGGCTGGTGAATTCCGAGGGCAGGTCACGTGACGCGACATCGACGTCAGCAGTCAGCGCAGGCTAAGCCGGGGGTAGAGTCACCGGGGGTACAGCGAGCGAAAAAAAAAAGGAAGCGTCAGTAGAACACTGAAAAGCACCCCCGGGTCGGCACCCTCGGGGATATCTCCGGACGTCGGCAGGAGGAACTCCTATCTATGTCGCCCATGCAAGTAATTAACATGCTCTTACAAGGCCGTCTAGGCCCCAGAGGAGCCATAATTTGAAATTAGCTTCCACAGGGGAATCCATACAAAAAGGCTCTTTTTACGTGAGCCCCCAATTTCCAAAAATAGCGAAATTTCCACCGCCAGCTGGGCTATGGCATTCTGGAGCGGCTTAGTGTCGTCGGCACCAGGCCAAGATAAGCGGCGCTGAAAATCGCACTCTCTTTACGGCAAAAACTCCCTCCTACAATTTCACGTTGTCTGCAATTTGCTAAATCGCCAATACAGAACTGGCCACGTCGAGATCGGTGGGAAAAAATTTTTGAAAATTTCATCCGATGGGCCGTTTGGTGATCTGAAATTTTTTTCTACGTTTTTCACCCTGCTGCCTCTTTCTTCCCCCAAGGCCCCATGCAAATTCCCACCACAGATTCCCCAGCACGTTACGTCCGTCGGAAGTATCCAGGCGTATTGGTGAAAATAGCACATCTTGCTTGGGCCGGCCCCTAGGCGCTGTTTTTCCGCTCCTATGCTTTTCGCAGCGGCTTACCGAGAAACAAGAGGGATTTGCAAGGCGGCGCTTTGGAACGGGCTCGTTGTGGCGAGAAAATGGGTTTTTTCGATGAAAAAAAGGAAAAGTGGGACCAACTCGACCGATTTCAGCTGGTCAGCCGTGGGACCTTTTGCAAGTGGTCCTCCAAAGACCTCGGCGTTTTTTCACTGCACATTCTGAGACATTCTCCCGCTGGGCGGCTAAATGGTCCACTGAGCTTGTGGTTTTTTTTGCCTTTTGGGATTCATGGAGCCTGGCTGCCCGTAAATACCAATGAACGTCATGAACCATGCTTGCTATGGGGATTTTGGCGCGGGATCGAATGAGGTGTCGAGGCAAGTCGCTAAAAGGGTGTTTCAGAGAGACGTGTTTTTTGGACCCACTTTTGCCAGGGTCCCCTACTTGCTACGAAAACTTCTCTGCAATTGTAAAAAATTTTTTCCTTATCTCGACCTTGTTGGTTGCGTTATGCGCACGGTACCTTTCCAGCCACACCTAGGCGAAAATGAGAGCCGCACAGCCGAACCGGAACAATTACCGGATCAGTGGTTGACGCGCGCGGCCACGCTCGTAAATCGGACCATTGTGCAGGCAAGGCGCAAGTGACGTTTTTCACCCTCTCGTCGGACTGCACACACGCGGCAAGCTGACGCAAAATGCCCCCAACGCCCCCTGTGCCAATCCGTCGCAGACTGCACGCAGCGCAGTGACCTAACTTCACACGCGTCAGCGAGCTTCAACGAGGCTTTGTATACAGGGGCCACCTCATGCCCACGACGCATGGAAGATTCTTCTTGCTTGCTACAGCATAATACCCACATTTACCAATTTGCATCGTCTCTAAAAGCGCATAAACTGTTTTGTGTTTCACTTGCCCTCCTGAGACAAAAAGTTGCTCTTCCCGCCACAAAACCGTACATGCTACCCGCGACCCGGTGATTTGGGTGAGGCTTCGTCCTGCAATCTCGAAATCAGAATCCTCCCCTCGCATACATCATTCAGCTTGCAGAATAGGGGATACTCCTTGGAAAGGTCGCCCACAACGCCCAAGAACGCCCACGGGATTCCCGAAAGCTGAATCCCGAAATTCGCTTCATTTACGAGAAAAAACCGTGCCAATGTAAGCTTGGCTTCGTCAAGGTAACACGCTTAACCACCGTGACAGAAACGTTCTTCCGCTAATAACCTCTGCAGGTCCCGAAAACAGCAGCTCGAGCCTGATTTTGAGCCTCGGTCAGGCGCTGTGGATTTTTCTTCTTTTCGGGAATCACGTCACCCTAAGCCCCCTTTCGGCGATGCTGCCGTTTTCAAAGAGAGTCAGTTTTGCCGAAGATATAGCCGTGCTGAGATCGGCTAGATGTACGAATTTTTTGCAAGTGTAGCCGGAAACCGTAGTACTCCCTGGAGGAGAGCAAAGGAGGAGAACAATGGGGCCTTGTTCTCAGAAACCACATTATTCGGAGCGAGCGCAAATCACAAAAGATCTTCGCTGGAATAAGCACCGAAAACAGCGATTTGTCCGATTCAGCGAATTTTCAGATCTCGAGCCACAGCGAAGGAATAATTCGATATGCCAGGAAGTGCAAAAATCGCCATGTCTGGACCTTTGAGGCGGTCCATGTGATAGACCTTACCAGAATAGGAGGGGATCACCAGGTCACGCTGAATCGGGGCCCTTTTCAAACAAGTAGATTTCTCCCCACTTCTCTCGATCATTTTTTTTTAGGGGCATAAGCCAGAATGGTGCCTTCTCCAGGCTTTTCTCCAAAAAAGCGGGCCGTGGGTTCCCCACTGTAACGTGGAATCCAGGGGCCATTCTCCAGATCATCCCCAAGCCCTTTTTGTACGACAATTCTCGGCGCCGTGGGGAAACACAGATCGGACAACTGATCTTTCCAGGCGTCTTGTAGGAAAAGCGTTTGCTCCAGCGCAAGTCCAAAAAAATAGTGCAATCTAGAGGGCAAGATCGGTGTAAGCCCCCCGTAGGGAGAATCAGTCATGGATTCCGGCGGTGGGCCTGGCAACAAAGAGAGACATTATCCCTGCTGTTTACGAAACCTGCCAAATCAGGGCACCGAGACAACAATATCGCCACGAGGGCTCAATGGAGCTGAGATAATGGGTATTCTATGGTCTCGGGATGCAAAGTCCGGACTTCGAGAAAATGCCCAATTCAGGCCTCGATCGTTCTCCACACGAGGACCCCGTCCTCAGTGTTGCCGGGGTCCCTGGTGTTGTCAGCAAACTAAACATGCTAAAGCTGAAAATGCTTAGACAAAGCGCCTCCACCCATTGACCACTTCGTCATCCTCGAGCACCACAGGCCCATTTATAGCAACACCGAAGCCGCCAAGCACGTCACGGCCCTTTTTCCACCGTGACAGCCAGCACAACACCGCCTTAAGCGAGTGGCACCCCGTCTAGCCAAGCCTCGGGTTTGTTCACGCTTTTTCTCTACCGGGAGGCGTCCCTGGCGGAGTCGTAGTGTTCTCCCAAGCCGTAGCTGTGTTTGTAGAACGCCAAGTAGAGCACGGCGACATTCCCAGTGCCCTCGGAATTTGTGGTTTCGGTTGTTTCTGATCCAGAAGGCTCAAAGTCTATGGGCGCCAGGCCGGCGCTGAAAACACGTATTTTCACGCCGTAGCGCTTCGAAAGCGCCAATATCTCCATATCCAGCCCCCACATCGCCGTGGTTTCAAGCTCATGGGTGTACTCATCAACGTCTCGTAACGACATGGTGGACTCGTCAAACAAAAACGGCACAAACTCGTCACGATGGCTTCTGACGAAATCAGCAGCCTCTTTTCGTAATTCCTCCACCAGCACATCCGTACCAATCCTCTGTTTGAGCTGGTCCTGGATCGAGGCAAAAAGACAGTGTCCATCAGGCTTGATTTCCCAGGGCTCGAGCCCATTGGCCGCTAGCACCTTCTTCATCAGCTCCTGCTCAATCGCACGGTAGTCTGTTTCTCCAGCTGCTTCTTCTCGTGCCTGGTTCCGAATGGCCTCTTCTTGTAGTTGTCTTTTTTGCAACCGCTCCTTGGCTCTGTTTCGCTTCTTTGGGCCTGCTTCTGGAACCGCTTCTTGGGGTTCGTTTTTCTCTTCAATGGTCATAGAAGCCAATAGCTCTTCAGGAGAAACGTCTTTCTCCGGCTCTACGCCATTGAAGTCGTCTATTTCTTGCTTGTGTTTGGCATCGAGGTCGTTCTGAAGCTGCACACACTGTGAATTCACGGATTTCCGGTTCTTCTTGGTTGCCTGCTTCTTGAGACCCGTAATCCGACTCACCAAATCCCGCTGCTCCTTTTTATGGCGTGCTAGAAGCTCATCCATGGTTTTTCGATAGTGGTACCAGTGAAAGATCCAGACATCTGGGGGGTGCCAACATCCGTACACCAGGGCGATGGGGGTTGGGCTTGATTTCGGGACCCGCCTCTCGGTTCAACTTGAACCATGGCAGTCAGGTGGTGCACGGGTTTATACGGTTATACTGTGGTCTTGGGGGGTTGAAAGAGACATGCGTGGCTCGAGCGAGCTACATGTCGCACGACGTACGTGAGAAGGGGGGCTTTGGTTTTTTTTTTTTTTTTTTTTTTTTTTTTTTTTTTTTTCCCTCCCCCCC